CAGAATAAAACCTCATCAGAAGAGTCTGGCCTTGCCCTGCACTCTGAATATTAGTAAACCAGGGGAATGGTAGGTAGAGGTGGCATACAGCTCAGAATCCTCCGCCAGAAGTGTACTGTTTCCAGACTTCATACTATTTTAGTTGTCCAAGTAGGGGCTAACAGTGAGGAGTCCATTGCTGATCTCCTGCATTTCCCCTGTTCTCTCTCTCTCTCTTATTCCTCTCTCTCTTTCCTTTCTTCTCTCTCTCTCTTTTCCCTCTGTCTCCCCTCTGTTCTCTCTCTTCCCTGTTCTCTCTCTTCCTCTCCTCTCTCTTCCTCTCCTCTCTTCCCCCATCTCTTTCCCCACTTTCTTCCCCTGCCTCCCCCTCCCTCTCATCACAAGATGCTTAACAAAAAAGAATACACAAGAACAAAAGTAGTATGTGAAGTTTTATTTATTGTCGTCAGGTTTAGAATTTTTAGAAAACCTGATATTTACTGTAAAAAAAAAGCAACATTTACAATAAAGTATATTAGTATGCAGTGCATCCTGCCATGTGCCCTCCACCCCAGTTTTGTTTTTCTGCTGTACCCACACTCCGGCACCTTACAGGGTACAAATTGTAATTTTTTTCGGTACTCCAGCCAAAAAAATGGCCTACCCTTGGTTTACACTGTATTTTTTCCAATTTACAATTATTTTATATGGCTACCATAACTGATAAAACAATGTTGGCAGCTGGTAGCTGGGCTCGGGGGCACCCCAACTTGTGGGGTGTGCTCCCTAGTGGAGCCCCTGGAAGGCCAAGTGTGGGAGTTTGAGGAGGAGGTACATCAGCTATGCACCATCAGGGCCCATGAAGACTACATTAATGACTACTGCCAGGCCCTATTCCAGGGAATAGGGTTGGTTCTGGAACCAACTTCCAAGAGAGGTGGTGCAGGCTCCTATCCTGGGGGTTTTTAAGAGGAGGTTAGATGAACACCTTGCTGGGGTCGTATGACCCCAGTACTCTTTCCTGCCGTGGCAGGCGGTCGGACTAGATGATCTGCTAAGGTCCCTTCCGACCCTAGAAACTATGAAACTATGAAAAGAAGAAGAGAAAAAGGTGGAGGACATGGGCGACTGGTGCCACCTTAGTTGGTGGGGGAGGGCGGGGGGGGGCATATGCCCCTCCCGAGACCAGTCAGCAACTGGGGGGCAGCCCCCACATGGCCGATCTCTCTGACTGGGGGGGTCCCCCCCATGGACAATCTCACTGATGGGGAGGAAGGGGGAGGGTCCCCCACAGCTGATAGATTGCTCTGGCCTCTTCCGGAAGTGGCTGCAGCCGCTTCCAGAAGTGGCTGTGTCTGCTTCCAGGAATGCCACTTCCTGGCTGACACTCGCAGGGTGGACACCAGTGCTCCCACCTGCCCCCCCTGCCCATCGCCTAAGCAGCGAGTGCGGCTGGTCAGGGGGTGCACCAGCACTCTTAGGGGGTGCATGTGCACCCCTTTGCAACTGCCTATGTGTCACCACTGGTGGAGGAGAAGGTGGCCATGAAGAAGACTAGTCACAAAGACCCTCCTGGAGCTACCTGGAAGACAGGTATCTCAGGCTCCAGAGCATGCAAGGCTAGGGCTACTTCTTCCCTGACACTGCGTAACAGGTATGCTCCCCTCACCATGCAAGAGGAGACTCCAATGAAGACACCAGAGGAGGAGGTAAGTACTCAGTGAACTCCCACCTCTAAGAGGAGATGCTGGGTGGTGTTGGTGGGGACTCTCTCCTGAGGGTCATGGAGGGACCCATCTGCTGTCCAGACCCCTAGCCCAAGAGGTCTGCTGCCTCCCTTGGGCCTGCATTCATGATGTTGCAGAGAGGATCCCTAGGCTTGTCCACTCTTCCAACCACTACCCCATGTTCCTCATCCAGGTGGGCATGAATGACACAGCAAGGAGTAATCCGGATTGAGTCATGAGTGACTACAGGGCTATGGGGGCTGGGCTCAAGGGATTAAGAGTGCAAGTAGTCTTTTCTTCTGTGCTCCCAGTTGCAGGACATAGACCCAGGAGGGGAGATTGTGTTGAAGAAGTAAACAGGCACCTCCGATGGTGGTGCTACTGTGAGGGCTTCAGTCTCTTCAACCACAGCCCACACTTCAGGGAGAGAGGACTTCTGGGATGAGACAGCATCCACCTTATGTGGACAGGTAAAGTCCCTGTTCTCAGCCGGAATGGCTGATCTTCTGGACAGGGCTTTAAACAAATGGAAAACACTAGAGACAGTCTGGTATTTGGTATAAGGCACCATTTTAGGCAGTACTCTGGCATCAGTCTCATGTCTCTGTCAAGTGTGAGTTCCACATTTGAAGAGTCATGAGCTTGGGTAGCAAAGGCAATGTCATCAGCATAAACAGATTTTTGTGAGCTGGTCTTAAGCAGGTCATTAATGTACAGGTTGAAATGGGGGGATGGGGGGATGGGGAGGCCATTCGTTTGATGTCTCCAAGAGCTGGTTTGGGCTGCTCGTCTAGTCAAACTGTTACTACATGGTCGACACCTGGCCAACCGATGTGGCAGAATTCCTGATATTTTCACTGAAGACTGGTATGCTAGACAGTATCATATGCCGCTGTTAAATTTAAAGAATGTAACATTAGTTTACAGGTTTTTCTGAAAGTCATTTTCCCACCCTCTCTGGCCCTGCAACCACCCCCTGCAGCAGTTAGGAGGAGCTGGAGCTTGTGGCTGCAGCTGCCTGCAGCCAGCAGCCAACTTGAAAAGGCAGCCCTACTCCCTGGTCACCTGCCTTCCTAGCCCAGAGCAGCCTGCAAAGCACTGTGCCAGCACACTGCAGCTCTGTTGGGGAATCTGTGCCCACCATGCCATGGCTGTTCCTCCCCCAGGAGCAACATTCAGTGCTCTGGGCTCCGGTGGGACACCCTGGTTGCCCTGTTTCACCATTGTGACAACTGCCACCTGGCCCAGATCAGTCTCAGCCCTGGCAGCCCCCCTGTGCAGTGCAGCCTCTTGGCCTGGCTCCCTGCAGCATCTCCAGCTCTGTGGCATCATGCTGCTGCTGCCCAGACCCCATGTTGCCACGTGGACCCCAGCAGGGATGCTGATGATGTGCACCTGGACGCCACCACCAGTGCCATCCAAGCACTCCCGGAGCTCATGCTCTGCCACCTGTGCACCTGCCCAGTTGGTACAGTACACTGCACTACATCTCATCATCACTGGCTACCACAGGTACGTTCTATCTGTCATCTCCTTTTTACATTGGCTTCCCCTCAAACTGAGTCAAGATGCTCAGCAGCTTGGTGGTGCCATCCAGATGCTCAGTAGCTTGGGGCCAGCATAATGAAAAAGTCATGGTCAGCTCTGGGCTGAAGACTGAGGTAGATAATTCTGCTCCTCTGGTACGACAAAACCTTCTGGTTTAAGCAAAAGGTGCAGGAGATGGTGTTTTTTCAAGGCCCAGACCAACATAAACTTAAGACTACCATAGTCCTCATTGCTGTCTGCACCATGCTGGAGTTGCTCAGACTGCTTTCTCCAACATAAAAATTGTGTCTGCAGTCCAGTGTCTACCTGTGAACCCCCCTCGCACGATATCTCCACAAGAGACACTGGACTGCAGACACAATTTTCCCCTTGGGGAAGGCATGAGATGAAATGAAGCACACAGGACAGGGCTGCCATTAGTCTTGTCACTTCATGCTGTTGGAAAGTATTTGAAGACCATGGAGGTGCCCTCCCTTGTAAATTAATCCAAGAATCTGCAGAGAACTAAACAGCACAGTCATAGTGTTCGTACAGCACATTGCCTGATTCAAACCCATAGTTTCCACATGAACTTAAAACGCATACTCTTTCTTCATCCACAGCATCTCAGAATGGTAATAAGGAGCTGTAGACCCTATCTGTATGTGCAGCCAGTGTGGAGTAATGTTTAATTCTTCTGATCATTGAAATGAGAATGAATAGGCCTCATCACAGTCTCAGACCCTTGTGATTTTTTCCTGCAAACAGCCATGAAGACACACCTGAAACCTAGAAATCTTGTCTGCAGTGTCCATAACACATCTACAGAGATGCTTGCTTTGCTTGGACAGGGTATTAGTTGGGAACCAACAAAGCATTTAAAATAAATTATCCAGCACAATCCATATCCAATCCAAACCAAACTGAAGCTGGAATTTGTGCATGTCCATTCCAACAGCAGCTGCCTCTGAGCAGGAGAAGACATGGAAGTCCCCTAGCACAAGAAGAAAGTCTGTTCTTGGAGTCATATCTGCTTCCACCTCCAGCAAGACACTGAGTCAGACCCTATTCAACCTGGCACTTCAATGTCTCTTCCACCCAGCTCAAGTATCTGAAAATCACTAAGGTGCCTACTTGTATAAGGCACATTTATGTTAGCTGTAAGACAAAAACTAGTGAGGAGGACCCACCCACCTTTTGTGCTAAAGGTGTTTCAGAGACTCAAATAAGGTAGATTGAAGTCCTTAGATGTCTAAGTATAACTCTGATGCCTAATAGCTGGAATAGGATCTCATCAGTAGGCATCTTAGTTTTACTTAGGCATCAAAAAGTGTAGTAGGATCTGGCCCATGATGTATTTCTTATGTAGAGTGGACCAGATTTGCCATTTACTTTTAGTACCAACTGGTTCATGCAGTTGGGATAATCCAGATCCCTTGGGTACTTATTACATGTGAACCAAACCACCAGTCCTCTTTAGGCTCATCTATCAATAACCACTTCCATAGACAAACTTGCAGTGGCCAGTTAACAAAGGGTATTGTTGACTTGTTGTAACAATCCTTTTATTTAAGCTAAATAGATAGACAGATGTAACATTCATTGAAGCATGTTTCTCAGATGATCTGAGAGCAGGAATAATAAGATACTCACCTTGCTAGCAAGGGATTAGACATAAGCAGTATATTTTTAATTAGACTTTAAAGAGCTTATTTCAATGTTTGCGGGGGGGAGTTCTGTTTCTGTTGCTCAATATCATCTTTTCAGTCAGAAGGATACATCTTCACTGACTGTCAAGAAAAAAACACAGGGGATCTAAATATCCTAGGACTTCACTTTTGTTAACCCATCAAGATAAGGGAGGAGAAAAATGGACTTGCAGCTTTAGCACAAGTTATCTAATCTGTTTGCTTGAGAAAATCTGTCCTCCCACGGACTCACCTTCAACACTCTTAAGGAATACTTTCTTGATGACAATCACTCTGCTCACCACTGGCTCACCACTGGCCATCCCAGAAGCAGCGCTTTAGAGCACCAGATTGCATAGTATGAATCTTTAGGGACCATATCAGCGGAAGAACAATCCTTGGACAGACAGCATTCCTGGGATATCACATAGCACGGGACCTAAGAGGGACATCCACCATGAGTCTTAGCGAGGATGAGGTGGAGAAGTTTCTTGATAGTAACCCTAGTTTTGCCAAGCAGTACTTTGATAAACACCTGAAAACAACTGAAAATGAGAGTGATATCCTGTTTGAATTAATCCAAGACATGCAGGAAAGCATCAACATGGAGAAGGTGGTTTTCAAGACCCTGAGAAGAATCAGCTCTCTCATCCATGCAGACCGCTGTAGTCTTTTTATGTACAGGCAGAGAAATGGCATAGCAGAGTTGGCTACCAGGCTTTTTAATGTACAAGAAGGAAGCACACTGGAGGAATGCTTCGTGACTCCAGACTGTGAAATTGTCTATCCTTTGGACATAGGTGTGGTGGGGCATGTGGCTCAAACCAAGAAAACAGTGAACCTCAAGAATATCCATGAGGTAGGTTTTCCATTGGTTTGCTCAGTTAAAGGAAGATTCTATGAAAGTTTGTAGAGTTGAGGAAAATGATAAACCGGTGTAAACTGTACAACTCTCATTTACTCTAATGACTTTATGGTGGAAACCAAAGAAATGTTTGTCATTCTTACTTAAAATACCAAGAACCTATTTATACTGTTGCATTGAAATATTTCACTAATACACACTAACGATGTGTATTAATTATGCCAGACTGTTAAAACAATGTTTTGTAGTTCAGTTTATTCTGCATCAAAATGGAAAAAAGAAAAGATTACTTCTCCTTATGTAGTAGTTTGACATAGCAAAAAAGAGCAGGTGCTGCATTCAATCCTGCCTCAATATACATGGACTAACTGGCAGAGAAACCAGAAGCCCTTATTTTAAAAAAGTGCAGAAATAGTCTTCTACCGGAGGATGGTTTTCTATTTCTGCAACTGGAGCAAGCAAAAGCAGTCCCATTCAAAGGTATTTTCATGACCCAGAGAGAAAAGGTACCCTTGGTGTGTAAGTGTATACATATATAGATAGTTTGACAGTTTTCTTTGCATATCTACACACCTCCATCTAAAACAGAAATATGAACCACGTCCAAATATTCACCAAAAAAATTATGCACTGTATCGTTGAATAGAAACTTCTGTTACCAAGGAGCTTTAATTGTATTGCCTTTTATAGTCCTGAATGTATTCAGCAACTGTGCACCCTAGTTGAATCACCCCTACTAAATCTAAACTACAGCAATTACAATCCGCTTGCTCTAATCTGAGTTATAAATCTAAAATCCATGTGACCCAAATATGATATCTGGGATTATTTCATCTATAGTTCTCTTGAAAAAAGTGAGATCATCTGTCTATTCATTCGTGCTATCCTCAGCACCGCAGTAACCAGGTGCCTAAACAAAACGTCCCTACTTTACAGGGTTCACATTAAATGCTGGTTTTGTTTTGTAATCATTATCGTGCAAAAGCTTCATCAGAAGCAGGTTATATTTTGTGAGTCACCCACAGTCTAGCAAATAAATTTCAGAGTAGTGATCCTGATATGAAGAAAGCACCTGGTTCTAGCTTTTAGTTGTTACTGTTATTTGGGGTCATTCCTTGCAAGCAGTAAATATTCATGATAGGCCCTGGTCACAGATGGTGAAGAAGAGCCCTTCTGGTCACTAAGTATCACTGAGAACTTGAAAGATCCAGGTTCCCATATCTCATTTGATGTAGTGTCACATAGAAAGTCAGTGGTGAGCTTGATGTGCTGCAGTAGTACATTTGTGAATCACAACTGGTTTGGATGCAGCATATTGAACTAGTCAGACCTTGACAGCTCCTGTTTTTGGTCCCAGGTACACTGCATTGCAACTTATGGACTCACCTATCAGGGAGAGGGGGCTTTTAGGTCAGCCAAAGGGTATAGCAGTTTCCAAAAGGCAGAAAGGTCATCTGGGTATGCAGTAGAAAAGGTGAGACCAGGAGGGGATTATTTAGATGATATGCTCTCAAGCAGCTCTTTTGAATCCTTTCTGTTCTCTGTCTAGTTTTATTTAGGATCTAGGAGGCAATAGCATCCTCAAAGGGTATTACCAGGCCTCTCTCTTTTACTTCAAATGCCCAGGATCCTTTGGTTGCTCCAGCAGTCAAGCACAGGGAACACACAGCTGCCCTGGAAGGGCAAAAAGGAGAAACCCCTAGTGTAGTAGAAACCCTGGGTGGCCCCTCAGCAGCTCAATGTTACCCTTTCCTAGCAACCCTACTAACCAACAAGAGAGAGAGCAGATGTGTCATTGGTAGAGGATGGCAAAGAGCTCTAGAGATCCCTGGCTGTCTGTACAAACACAAGTCTTTTCTTGGCATATGTAGTCTTGCCCCACAGTGATGCAGTTTAGTCCTAGGATGAAACCACAATTCCTCTCCCTGGTTCCCAGAGGTACTAATTCAAGCCTGCCTTAGAACAGTGACAGATTATTTCCCCTTCTACGTAAATTCAGTTTTTACTGAACTACTGTAGAGAGAAACATGGTTCAGCTCATCCCCCACCCATGCACCTCAGCTTTCAGTGATAAGAGTATAGTACCTCAAATCCCCTCCGTTCCTAAACCCTAAGTCCAAAGTTGCCCACACAAGGATGCAGAGGACCTGCCCCAGGAACATATCCCAAAGTCAGTCTAACTCACGGGGAACTTCATGGGAGTTGTAGTGCATGACAGAGAAGAGAAAATTAAAGTCAAAGGACCTTACAGTGATTGCATCTTAGAAGGATATTCTTGGAAAGGTGTTACAGGGTCCAGCAGCCTTTACCTTTGTCATATGTCAGGAATCTCTCTCAAGCTGGTGAGATCATTAGAAACAACAGAGAGAAGTGGAGGGAAATGCATATTAGTGCATTCCAGATGATTCCATGTTTCACCATGGTTTGCTTTTCTGCATAGATCAATGTTATTCCCTTAACCCATCCAAAAGTATTTTGTCAGCGGTTTTTCTTGTCTAGTTTTCTTGCTTGCTAACAATTTGAATGATGCTTCATTTGGAAATTCTTTTTTGAACAGTGTGCGCAATTCAGTACATTTGTTGATGAACTCACAGAATTTACTACAAAGTGCATCCTTGCAACACCCATCATGAACGGCAAAGATGTAGTTGCTGTGATCATGGCTGTCAATAAAACAGATGACACAAACTTCTCTGATGCCGATGAAGCAGTAAGTGTAAAAAGACTAAGTGTGTTCAGTTTCTGTAATGCACTTGCCTCTAACTACATACTGTAGACTTCTCTACACTGGGGATATTCGCACTTGTGTACACACATTAGTGCCATTTGCTCACCAGGAAACATTGCCCTGTTGCAAAACAGGCTTATCTGAATCAAACATCGAGGCAAGTCACAGTGGCATTAGCCTCATCTTACCCGAGTGGAAGGCAACATATATTTTGCTGCATACAACATTCCCTGGAATAAAATACACACCAACTTTTTGAAAGGCAAAATAAAGAAAAAGATTTTTCCAGAGTTATGGTTGTGTAGAACAGGAACAGAGCCTAATCTTTATGTGACTCTCTCTCCCTTTCCTGCTTAACTAAAATCTGAAACCCTCACTGCTGCTGAAGACTAGTCTCCATTGGTGGATCTGTGATTTTGAAAACAGCTAAAGAAACTCCAGGGCTGTGAAAATAGAAGAGAGACCAGAAGCAGCTAGCAGACAGCAAAATTGCCTTAAGAACGGTTAGCTTGATTAGTAGAACATCAATACCATTAAAAGGGAGAGACAACTCTTAATACCTGTGGAGTGAATAACAATGAGCCATTAAATTAATTCACTCCCTCAGCTGCCTGTGATGCCACTGCTGCTGCACTGTGGAGCAAGATTCAAAAAATGCTTCTATTCAGGGCAAAAATTAGTTTCTCTACTTAAAACACACACCCCAATTTTGGGGGCTGATTTTTTGGGAAAAGGTTGGTGTTATTTTGTGGTATGTGAGCAAATACAGTATTTACACTAGTTGTATACTGGATTGTAGCTGCTTGGGGTGCTAGAAAAACACACACACAAACACACACACAGAGCCATAGGCATGTTTAACACAATACTTATGGTTTACTTTTGCAGCTTTTCCTGAAGTATCTGAATTTTGCCTCCCTAAACCTGAAAATTTATCATTTGAGTTACCTTCACAATTGTGAGACACGAAGAGGTCAGGTAAGAAAACAGGACAAAGTCCAATAATTGCTTCCTCTTCCCATTTCAGGGCTGCACCTCCCACAGGTTTGCAGTTTAGATTCTTAGCCAGTCTATTTTAGTGACATGTATCTGTGACATATGCCCCCCACTTCTAGTATTCTGGTACTTGGTGAATAACTGTTCCCAGTTCATTTTGGTTACACCCTTCATGATCTTAGAGACCTCTGTCATATGCCCCCTCTGCCTCTTCCTTTCCAGTCTGGAGAGTTCCAGACTTTTCAGTCTTTTCTGGTATAAAAGCTGCTCCATACTCCTGATAATCTTTCTTGTCCTTTTGTATTTCTTTTTCAAATCCATTACAGCCTTTTTGAGACATGGAGACCAAAATTGCTGGAGCAGAGTTCAGCCTTGTTTGTTTTGTTGGGTTTGGTCTAGTGGTTTAGCGGTCAAGCATGAAATGCCTCTGGGGCAGCCTTTCAATAGAAATGGGAGCAAAAAAACCCTACCAAGGCACATCTACACATGCTGTTAGGGTACGTGAATGAATTCCAGAGCTTATTGCACTGGAGTTTACTGCTCCTGGGTGCCACATCAGCACATGCACCCAGGAGCGCAGCACATTGAGCTGGGTGGCAGCAGCCCCAGTTGGCAGAAGGCCCAGGGGGTCGGCCTGCCACCCCAGGGCTGCTCCTCCTGTCTCAACATGCTGTGGAGGGGCTGGTAGGGGCACAAGGGTGCTTCAGCACAGGGCTTGCTAGCAGGCAGCCCCTGTACTGAAGCACTCTCATGTCCCAGTCAGCCAGGGCAGTGTCTACATTTGCGCTGCTAAGGAGGTTTTACTCAGCAGCAGGCTAGTATTTGTATTTACAAGAACTAGCCTGCTGTGCAGTAAATGAATCTACTCTGTCCTAGTAGGGGAGCACATGTATGCATGTGATCTTTACTGCACAGCTAATTAGTCAACTGCACAATAAACATCTCATATGTATGCACCCCTCACTTCTAACACGGAGCTCAATATGTAAGAGATTATGCAATGTGTTCCCTGCCATAGTAAGAGTCGGGACACAGGAGGTCTCTTTCATGCTTCTGCCTACATGCTTTGGAGTTGCAGCCTCTGCACAGCTGTGGCTACACTGCTTCCAAGAGCTGGGCTAGTGGGAGAGTGAAGTGTAGATACACCCCTAATGCCAGAAGGACAACTTGTGTGCTTCAAGTTAAGTACCTTAATCTTGGCCATACTGGTGTGTTGTAGATGCTGATCCCTCATTCCCCTCATTAATGTAAGATAGACAGTTGACTAGAACTGCTGGAGCATTTTTCCTCAAAGTGTCTTCTTGTTGGAATGCCGTGGTTCAATGAAACCACATTTTTTTGCAGGAAAGTATGAGCTAGCTTTGACAAAGATAGAACTTCTACTCAGGAGCAGAAAGCAATGAATCTATCCTCATCTAGGGTCAACATTCAAGCCCCTACTATGTCCCATTCAGAGAGAGAATTTGAACCTCATTCTCTTGTATTCCAGACAAGTGCCCTAACTACAGGACTATCAGCATTCAGTTATTTTGGGGTTAAAATCTTCCTGATGTTCTTTTAACATTCTTTTTCATGTGATATGTTACTGCAAGTTACTTACAGAACAGATGCTTGCTCTCCTCAGCTTAATTTTAACCAGGTAATTTCTGTTTAAGAGTATAGAACTATTGCATTATGCAGTGTAAGGAAGGATTTTACAAAGTACCTAGAGCTGGTCTGGCTCTGCTCCTAATGAGGTCAGTGACATATCCTGCCCTAGTAATAGAGCTTAAGTCAGCAACATTTTCAGGCTCTTTGGACAAGTATACTCTTTTATTTCAAAGTTGGTGATATCAGAGTATTATTTACTTATTTTTCCAAGTACAGTGATTTTCCCAGGGAACACTATCTTCAGGTTTCATTTTTATTCTGTAGGTGCTGTTGTGGTCAGCTAACAAGGTGTTTGAGGAACTGACAGATATTGAGAGACAGTTCCACAAAGCCTTTTACACAGTAAGAGCCTATTTGAACTGTGACAGATACTCTGTGGGCCTCCTGGATATGACCAAAAAGAAGGTAAGCATTCACACGTTATATTAATGCAGTCAGTTTCTCTGGGCTGCTGCTAAACAGAGGTGGGGCAATCTCTGGGACTAAGCTTTGCCTTAGTAGTAGTGATACAAATCAGTTCTGCATAGAGGTATAACTAGGGAATTTGGTGCCCTGGGCTAGAGAGGGCAGAAGGGAGGCTTCCGAGTACTTACTTACCTCTTTGCACAGGGGCTGCTGCAGGTGCTTGGCAGTGCAGACTGCTGCTGTTGCAGCATGGGCTCCCCAGAGGCTGCCATTCTGGTTCCCCTTTTAAATTGGCATCTGAGCTTATGCCCTGCTCATCTACCCCTAGTTAGGTTACCAACTAGGGAAGCAACAGGATTATTAGTACTGTTTGCACAAAGCCAAAAAAAAGAAATGCCAAAGGCATGCTAAGAACATGGGGAGAGAGAAAGAAGAGAAACCGGTACTGGGTTCTAGTGAAGGGGTAGGGATCCAAGAGATCAGGGACTGGGCAAGGAGAATGTTTTTGTAACATAGTTTACATTTAACTTAAAGAGCACCGAAGAGATGGAAGACCAATGTAAAATCATTGGGTGTTTTGTGGTCTGATGCAGGGAACACTCTTTTTCCTGCACTAAAATTGTTATTTTTTAATAAACAGGAATTTTTCGATTTGTGGCCAGTTCTATTAGGTGAAGTTCCAGCTTATTCAGGACCCCGGACTCCTGATGGCAGAGTAAGTACTTGACTAGAAACCTGCTCCCCACTGATTGTTTATTCTCTCTTCACGAACTTTAACCATTATTTTTTTCATTTATAGGAAATAGTATTTTACAAGGTCATTGATTATATCTTACATGGAAAGGAAGACATCAAAGTTATCCCGTGAGTAGATTAAACTTTGGTACACTGTACCTATGGCTATTTCTATCACTTCTGTATTACGACCATTTTTTTACTTGACAGAACAAGTGTCCACTGAATAGTAGGGCTGAGCATGTGTCAGTATTTGGATTAGAAGCATTTTGGGACAGGGTCCATCTTTTTGTCCTGTTCTTGCACAGCATCTGACACACAGAGATCCTCACAGGGAGCATCTACACATGTCATTAATGCACCACAATAAACTGCAGAGGTTATTGCACATGCGCCTGGATGGCAGCACATTGAGCCAGGTTGCAGCAGCTGGCAGAGTCTCTGGGGGTCAGCCTGCCAGCCCAGGGATGCTCCAACTGGGTT